GAGCAAAGGAGCAAGCGAAGGACTTGATTGCACAACGAGATAAGGTCGATGCAGAGATTGAAGAAAACTTCCAAATTTTGAAAGATGTGAGTTTTCGGATGATTTTCTAATCAAATGAATAGGGAGTGAATGGTTTATTGGGCTACTGTCTTCTGTCTCAAGACTTCGCTTCTTCAAAGCCGCCTCGCTTGGACCTTGCGCGAGAAAACGTCAACGCAACGCAGGGTTCTGAGGCTACTACACCGGAAAGCAGCGAGCCGGTGACAATAGTGTTGAAACAGAGATTATGTCATTCTGAGAGGAGATTATAAACGCTTTGCGGACTTTGTCGTACAGACTTGAACTAATCTTCTCAGTTATCTTGCAGAATGCTTCCACTATGGATTCACCTCTTGTGGATAAGGAGGGTTTCCCGTTCAGTCATATCGATGTGTACAGTGTTCGACAAGCCAGACATAACATTATCTGCTTGAGGTTTTTTTATTTCAAGTATATTTTTTGATACGATAAGTAAGTTGTTTCCAGGAATGACCGAAAAAATCTAACGGAGCAAATTGAGAAAGCCATACAGGACTCACATGCAGAAATGCGAGCAGAAGAAAGTGGTTCGAAGGAAGCTGAAAAATCTGACGAGCAGCCAAATTCTAACTCTAGGGAATGTGGAGGTGAGACAAGAGTCCCAGAGAAGGTGAGTTTTGCCCTTTTAAATATTCCTGCTATTTTCGAGTTCGTCTTCATGAGTACAAACTTGCAGGCCTCATCACCAATAGTTCATCGAACATCAAATAGGCCATTTATCAAGGTAAGATTGCTGTATTGGCTCTTGACGATATTTATGCGCACGTTTTCGGTGACAACGGTCATTCCTAATTCTCCTGCAGCTGAAGGCGGTCTTCGAGCTGATGACTTAATTATTCAATACGGCAACCTGCATGCTGATAATTTCAAAGAGATGAAGGAAGTGTCCAAGACGACGGCTGAGCACGAGGGGGTATGATGAACACCGTATCTATTGTTCTGGATAATTCCTGTAAATTACAGAGAAAATTACGCGTAACGGTCTTGCGAAATCATCGTGCAGCTCGGTTGGAAATTTTTCCGAAGCGATGGGCGGGGAACGGCATCTTGGGCTGTGGGATTGTGCCTATCTCTACAAATGATATTATCTGATGATGGTTTGAATGGGTACCATATCAATTGTGGTCAAGGAGGTGGGCCCATTTGGGCCGTTCGGCAAAGTACTATGATTTTTATTGGGAAAAACACATTGTAACTAGATTTATTGTTATATATAGCTCCCGCCGTTGGCGCCGCCCTGCCTCTTTGACTGCAGTGTGTCTTGCAAGAGTACTGCTTTACGAATAATGTCTCGTTGATGACCTTATCTGCACTCTGCACTTGTTTATGGTTATCATGTGATCACTCATTTCTTTGCGTTGTTACTTTCTCCGTTTTAGTATATTATATTGCTGTGTCCTTAATGTTATTTTCCGAGAAATAAAAATTAATGGAAGTAGTGCAACTACAACGAATGTCTCAATCTACTGTCATACTTTTAAATAGTTTTATCTTGCACGTACGCCCGAATAGCAACTCGCTTATAGGCCTTGTAAAATCTAATTGCCCGCGACGTACCTTGAAACCACCACAGGCGAGCGGTGTCGCGAGCACTATAGACGCTCATAAATATTCCGAACCAATACCTACGTTGTTTTCAGCGTTGCACATTATATTTTGGCCAAAAGTGTCTCTGAAAATGTATAAAAATACGCCTAAATGAGGTGCGCACTCATTATCGCCTATGAATAGGCGCTCCGCACCTTGGCGTTCAAAATGCG